CAAAACAACACAAAAAGTTCAAGCACTAGGCTCTTGTTCATAAGTATTCTCCTGATAGAGGGACAACTCTCTGAAGCTGCTTGAGCTTTAGAATCATTTCATGGACTTTCTTAGTCACCGTGTAGATGTTATCTTACATTAAGATGGCTGGTATTAAACAAATATTCGTGAATGGTGGTTCAAAGTTCAATGTTATTATGAGGTAAATATTTTCAAAGATAATATTTCACTTTGTGACAAAGTTTAAAATGATATGCAAACAGTAAAAATTTTCATCAACAATATGAAATAAAAACAACTTTTTTGAAACTGTTACATGTGGTAAACTTTACCTGATTGTCAACACGTGTTATAGTAAAACTAGACCTCAAACAAAATCCTTGTTAAAGTGTGCACTAGCTTACAACACTAGAAAAGCACAGTAATTGAATTCTCTACGTTATACTAACCTACAGCTAAATAATCTGTAACCATTGGTCCACTTTGAAATAGTACAACGTTTCATCACCAGTTTAAAAAAACAACATATATCAATATATCAGAAATGTAACACTTAATTCAAAATTTTACTTTCCTTCCTTAATATAGACAAAATAATAACAGATTCTTAGCAAATAAGAATTAAAAAGAAAAGCCAAAATCTTTGATGTCTTATTTCTTTTTGCCCCATCCCAAGGTAAGACCATGAGACTGAGGTTGGTTCTGGGCATGTAAAAAAACTTCTTTTTTCTTATTGAAATCATTCATTTCCTCTTCCAGTTTCTTGTTTTGGTCTTCTATCTTGTGTTTTTCTTGCTCCAGCTGTTTATTCATATTTTCATACTTTGTAAGAAGCTAAAAAACAAACACACAGTTTTAGAGAATCCAGAGGATTTCAACAAGGCTTTATTAATTATTGGTATTGTTCATATAATAAAAAATCAGAAATACAAAAAACATAACAACTTTTAATATAGTGAGAAAAACAAGCAAATCAAATTGTTTTTTTTTTATTAGAATCATCCACTTTATTTATACTCTCAGAAAAGGAAAGATAGCCACAACAAATCTTACTGTTTTGCACAGGACATAAATATTTCCAACATATATTATACTTTTATCTTAATAAGTTTGTCTTTAGAAACATTAAATTTCAGTATGAACCAACTTTTGTATGCATTAAAAAAAAAGTGGGCTCAACATATACTGTCAAATGTAATAAAAGCAACCATAGAAAATATGCAGGACCAAATCATGGAACATCCTACTAACACTGACATATACTGTCAAATGTAATAAAAGTAACCCTAAAAAATATGCAGGACCAAATCATGGAACATCCTACTAACACTGACATATACTGTCGAATGTAATAAAAGCAACCATACAAAATATGCAGGACCAAATCATGGAACATCCTACTAACACTGACATATACTGTCAAATGTAATAAAAGCAACCATACAAAATATGCAGGACCATATCATGGAACATCCTACTAACACTGACATACACTGTCAAATGTAATAAAAGCAACCATATAAAATATGCAGGACCAAATCATGGAACATCCTACTAACACTGACATATACTGTCAAATGTAATAAAAGCAACCATACCAAATATGCAGGACCATATCATGGAACACTTTAATAACATTGTTTTTGGTTTATTGTCAATTAAAACCAACAACACAGCTTCATCTTGGTAAAGCATGTTTATTGCCCAAAAAGTAGAGCAATCAGTAAAATTTTTATTTTCCAGAATTTATTATTTTTTTACTACTACCTTGTTAGTTTGTTTTTAAATTTGTGGAAAGCTACACCAGTGCTATCTGCAATAGTCTTCTCTAATTTAGCAGTGATAGACTAGAGGGAAGGCAGCTAGTAAACACCTCCAACTCTTGGGCTGCCCTTTAACCAACTAATTGTGGGATTGACTGTCACATTATAACACCCCCATGGCTAACTGGGATTCGTATATTGCGAGTTAAGCTCCCAAACTACAAGGCCTCACTGTTACCTAACACGTGATTTAAAAAATGCATATTAGATTGATCAACCAGTTCCTATTTACACATTATAAAGTAGAACTAACGATCAGTTATTTGTTTAACTTATGTGAAAGAGACAGAAGACAATTACAAACTTAAACAACCAGAATGGTGAAAGAACTGAAGCTGGAATTATATACACAAATTATTCTTATTTAAATAGATATTGGAAAGTTAATGTTTTGATGTCTTGTTTTCAGTGTTATGTAAAGATGATTAAAAAAAAAGGTTTTCTGTAGTTTGGTTTACCATTTTTCCATTTCAGGGAATAAAAACTATTACTGTTGTAGCTTTTGGAAATATCTAACACGGATTATTAAAGTAAATATTCAGTCTTAGCTGGTACACCTAAAACTTGTATGATAACATAATCTGTAAAAACATAAGCTCTGTGCCTTTCCAGACAAGCAGAAAGTGTCAGTGATATTCTTCAATTTCTTCATTCACACAATGGAAACATTGAACCAAACTGCTTGAAACTAGCATCTAGTTTCAGCTTGATAAAATCTAGACTTAGTTTTTATATAATTTTTTATGTTAGTTACAATTAGTAAGTTTATACTCAAGGAATGATGGTTATATCAGTTACAATTAGTAAGTATATACTGAAGGAATGATGGTCATACCAGTTACAATTAGTAAGTATATACTCAAGGAATGATGGTTATATCAGTTACAATTAGAAAGTATATACTGAAGGAATGATGGTTATACCAGTTACAATAAGTAAGTATATACTGAAGGAATGATGGTTGTACCAGTTAGAATTAGTAAGTATATACTGAAGGAATGATGGTCATACCAGTTACAATTAGAAAGTATATACTGAAGGAATGATGGTTGTACCAGTTACAATTAGTAAGTATATACTGAAGGAATGATGGTCATACCAGTTACAATTAGAAAGTATATACTAAAGGAATGATGGTTGTACCAGTTACAATTAGTAAGTATATACTGAAGGAATGATGGTTATACCAGTTACAATTAGTAAGTATATACTCAAGGAATGATAGTTATACTAGTTACAATTAGTAAGTATATACTGAAGGAATGATGGTTATACCAGTTACAATTAGTAAGTATATACTGAAGGAATGATGGTTATACCAGTTAAAATTAGTGAGTATATACTCAATGGGTGATAGTTATACTATATACTATAAGTATACACTCATTAGTTACATTTAGTTGACAGAATTGTAATTACTATTGTTACTAAATTAATGTGCTCACCAGGGTTAATTCACATTTTCAAATACTTAGTTATTCATTGTTAGTTGTCATTTTAAGGTTACGTAAACTTGTACAGATATAAACAATTAACATTTTTGAAAAAGACCTTTGACATACTTGTACTAAAAATTCTAGAAGAAATTATTAATTATTTGAGGACTACATGGAATTCATACAATATAAGTTCCTTTCTCTTTTAAATCAAACAGATATCTAAATAGCAGTTGAAATTAGAAATCTTACAGATTTTTCAGCTTCCTTTAGCTCCGACTCTTTTTCTTTCACACGAAAAACAAATGACTGTCTCATCTCTTCTTCTCTCTGCTGTAATAACTAGAAACATAACAAAATCTTCAGCTTTGTAACTATCATGTCTTTCTAACTTAATTGTTTGATTAATCAAGTAATTAAACACAGGTTCAAGTGTTTCAAAGCTCTAGATTTAAGTTGACATACTTCGTATAGTCTAATTTATTTAAGAGAAACTCTGTGAACAATCAAATTTGAAATTCTTCATTAGTAAAGAATAATATTTTTGAGTATCTTAAAACAATCTTATATTTTCACAAGACAACCGAGAGATGAGTGCCATTTCCTGGGTAAAGTCAGGCTTAAGATTTATGGTTTTTGAACACGAGTTTACCTCTAATTGCTCTTGACGTTTTTTTTCATAGTTTTCATGAAAGGGTACCGGCTTATTATCAGCCCCAAGATCCGAAAAGCCCATCTGTTCAAGTCGCAGTCGGCGGTACAACTGATAATGACAGCTGTGGGTCTGCTCCCTTAGATCCTCCATGTTAGTCCGAAGTAGCATTTCTCGTAGCTTTACAAAATCACAGTGGTTCTCATTTTCAACTGAATGGGTAAAAAATCAGGTATCTCCATTTTTAACCAAAAAAATTAAAAATACTTAGGAGGAAATTTTTAACTGATAAATTATAACTACTAGTTACTTTACACCTCAAATGCTACACCTATTTTTAGTTAAATATGATTCAGAATGCTAGATTTGTTTGAACAGTATTTTCTAAAGTGTTTCTAATAAAATGAAGTTTATAAAAACACATGTAATGTTACTATGTAGTTGCTAAACAACAAAAAACACAAAAATTATTATTTTTATGTAATGTGGTTATAGATCAATGATTGATATAATTTTTAATCTATACCAAAAAATTTTGTTTCTAATAAGTTTTACTTTTATTTTTTGGGGTAATACATATTTTTTTATTTTTGGTACTAAACTTTTCTCTTAATAAATAACACCCCCTTTTTTATATAAACAGCTACTGCCTACACTAAATCTTGAAATTACTAACATATTATTGCTTTCTAGTGATTCTAGGTGATACAATAACAATTACCATACTACAATGTAACAGAAATAATCTACTGAGTATATTCATACCTTACTTTCTAGTGATTCAAAGTGATAAAATAACAATACTTGTATAGTATTTACCTTGGACAATACCCCACGTATACTGCCTAGCTCGAATCATTTTATTTCCAAATTTGATTGTATCAGTACTTCCAACAACAGCAAAAGGCACTTGCTTCTGCATGAAAGAGGAATATAAAAAATATTTAAAAAATTTTTAAATGTGTCTACCTTGCAAAGAATAAAAAAAGGATGGATTGTCTCGTTACAGTTCATGACTACTAAAAGGATGGATTGGCTCATTACAGTTCATGACTGCTAAAAGGATGGATTGGCTCATTACAGTTCATGACTGCTAATAAGGTGGACTGTCTTGTCACAGTTCATTACTGCTAAAAGGATGGATTGTCTCGTTACAGTTCATGACTGCTAATAGGGTGGATTGTCTTGTCACAGTTCAAGACTGCTAATAGGGTGGATTGTCTCATGACAGTTCATGACTGCTAATAGGGTGGATTGTCTTGTTACAGTTCATGACTGCTAATAGGGTGGATTGTCTCATTACAGTTCATGAGTGCTAAAAGGATGGATTGACTCATTACAGTTCATGACTGCTAATAGGGTGGATTGTCTCATTATAGTTTAGTTCATGACTGCTAATAGGATAGATTGTCTCGTTACAGTTCATGACTACTAAAAGGATGGATTGGCTCATTACAGTTCATGACTGCTAGAAGGGTGGATTGTCTTGTTACAGTTCACAACTGTAACGAGACAATCCATCCTATTAGCAGTCATGAACTATAATGAGACAATCCATCCTATTAGCAGTCCAAGACTGCTAATAGGATGGATTGTCTCATTACAGTTCATGATTGCTAAAAGGATGGATTGGCTCATTATAGTTCATGACTGCTAATAGGGTGGATTGTCTTGTTACAGTTCATGACTGCTAATAGGGTAGATTGTCTCATTACAGTTCATGACTGCTAATAGGGTGGACTGTCTCATTACAGTTCATAACTGCTAATAAAGTGGATTGTCTTGTTGCAGTTCATGACTGCTAAAAGGATGGATTGTCTCGTTACAGTTCATGACTGCTAATAGGGTGGATTGTCTTGTCACAGTTCATGACTGCTAATAGGGTGGATTGTCTTGTTACAGTTCATGACTGCTTATTGTTTAAATATCTGTACTAGTATAACAACAAAAGTTATGTCTAAGGCTTACAGTGTTAGAAGAAACTCAAGTCTGAAGATGTAGTGCACTTGTTCTGATATAATCTCGTAATCACTGTACAGGTCTATTTTTGCAGAGGCATTCTATATGTTTGTATTACCCAACTCTTTGAAAATAAACTTTGATGGTTGTTAAGATTGTATGTTGTACTTAAGTAATTATTAAAATATAATTGGAGCAAATGTGTGTAAATCAAAGAAGATAAAAAAAGGGTTATATTTTTATTGAACATGTTTCAAGGACTGGTTTATTTCTCCTGGTTAAAATGATTGATGGATTTATTCCATGGAGAATGATTAACTCCAAACAGATACACATACATTTTTCATGTGAGAGCAGTAAAATACAACTTTCTTTAAAAAAGTCAGGTCACAGATTGAGCTAATACTATCTTTATTGGATGTACGAGTGATTTGAGTTCATTTGTCCTTTGAATGTTGTATGTGATCTTGTATCAATATAAACAAAGAAATGATGTAACTAAATAAATTTCTTAGCTCACGAATAGCTGTTTGAAAAACTAAACATATGCAGTAATTAAGTGGGTATCTCCTAAAACAGAAAATAATTCAAACTTAAGTTTTACTTCTAAGTTTGTTTTTTTTACTGGGATTTGTAAATACATAGTCAAATTTAAGGACAATTAAACACATAACAATAAAAAATAATATCCTGACTACTTAAAGGCAAGATCAAACAGGTGCACAAGTTATAAATGTAAGGTAAATTACAGAGAGAATGTTAGTTGCACAAGTTGTAAATGTAAGGTCAATCACAGATAATGTTAGATGTACAAGTTGTAAATGTAAGGTCAATCACAGATAATGTTAGATGTACAAGTTGTAAATGTAAGGTCAATCATAGAGATAACGTTA